CCCATTTTTGAGAGAGTAGTTGACACAAAGGCCCAACCAACTCTATCATAGGTTTTTTCCATGTCCAGCAACAGAATAGCCACTTCCCGCTTCTCTCCCCCAATCACCTATAGGGCTTGTAGTGTCATCATTATATTTTCAAATATCGTGCGACCCTTCACAAAGGCACCTTGTTCCCCCCCGAGCAAGTTTGATAACAAATCAGCCAAACGTAGCGGCAGGGCCTTAGCAAGGATCTTGTAAGTCACATTTAAAATTGAAATCGGCCTATAGTTTATGACTTCAGTTTTGTCACCCTTTTTGTAGAGCAGAGATATCACACCTTTGGCAAAACCTGCTGGTAGGATACCTGTCTCAAGTATTCGATTATACAATTGGCAAAGGAACTGGGCGACGCCCCCCCAACGAGTTTGGAAGAGCTCGACCAAGAGGCCATCCAGCCTTGGGCATTTGCCCTTGGCCATTTGGTTTATTGCCTTTTTTAGTTCCCGCTCTGTGAAAGGTCGGTCTAGTTTTTCGTTTGCCCCCTGAGAAACCTGCACCCTGGATCTGTTCCGAAAATCCGATAGTTCAGACAGGTTTGTGTCAAAAGAATCATATGGGCGCCTCGTTGCTACTATGTCTCTGAAATAGTCCAACACATAATTACACACTCGTTCGGTGTCCAAGGCTGTGGCCTTGGGGGCACTCAATGCGAAAGGGTGCCTGAATTCTAAGATAAGAGATTTTGTTTGTCTAATCAATAAAGAGCGAAACGTGATTTTGGTCATTCGATCATACCCACAAATGCCCCTGAGTTTAAGCCATTCTAGCCACTCTGTATTCTTGAGGGCTTCGATAGATTCTAACTGGGTGAGGCTTTGTTTCCTTTTCTCATACCAAAAATAATCAGAGAAAGGGTCCCCACCCATGTAGTCTCTGCTTCTTCTATTTCTTTCAACAGTTTTACTTCTCTCCATTTTCAGTTTGCTGCTTTCATTTGTGAGAATACAATTAGACCAGCCCTGACAATACTCAGACCCACCTCAAACCACTCTTCTTCTTTTTCCTCAAAGAGCGGTTTGGCCTTAGGCCAATCCATCATTTAGTCCTTGACCCATTTTAGTATTCCTTTGTCTTTCAGATTATTCACGTTTAGGCGAAAAGGAGGTCCGTGTTTTTCAATCACTTCGTCAGAGATCACGTCCATGACCACCGGATAGTGGTCTGACAATTTGGAGTACATAAAGTCCAACCAAACACATCGATCCCAAGGACTTCCTCTTGCCAAAAAGAAATCCAGCCTTTTCCTTGGTTGGCTTGTTGACTTTCCTGGTCTTGGCCCATACCAAGTGAAGTCATTACTTTCCGGATTCATTGTTCTGTAGACATCAGTTAATGCTTGTGAATCAATCAAGGCTGTTAACATATACGTGTCTTCCTGAATGGGCGCGACTTACAAGGAATCGATTCCCGGGTTGAAGATAGTGTTCCAATCCCCCATTAGGACCAGATTTTCCGTATCTGGGAGGTGAGCTGGTAAGTCTGTGAAAAAAGACACTCTTGCTTTATATTCCACGGGGGCATATATGGACATAAGCGCCCAATCTTCATCCCCCACTGCAATTTTTACCTAGATTCAACGTCCCTCTGGGTCAAAAAATGAAGCTAGTACCTGGCAGTCCAGGTCTTTATTGATTAATATGGCCGTACCCCCTCGAGTGTCATCTGCCGGGGCCCAGAACTGGGGGTCTTCCCACCAATCTGCAATCTCTAGAATTTTCTCTGAGTTAAGTTTCGTTTCCTGTAGACCCAGGATATGCACATCATTCGAATGTAACCAGCTTTCGAGTCTCTGTTTTTTATCTCTTCCTGTTGTGTCGCCTAGGCCTCTGAAGTTCCAAGACACAATCCTAACTCGATTCGGCAAGACCATTTTCACGGTCTTCGCCGTTGTTGGTTTGGATCCAGCTTTGAGGACTTCCTTTCTGACTCAGAGGACCCTGTCTCTCGCAGCACCAATGAAGACTGTGCAAGTAAAGGGAAGCTACGGTAACCTACAATTCAAATGTTTGTCCCGCTCATCCTGACAAACTCCCCTCAGGGAGTCTGTGTGTTAACCAAACACACATCGGCAAACGAGAGACTGGAACTGCCTACCCTACGAGTACACGGGCAACCCTCTGAATTGTTGGTTAAAGAAATTACTAGAAGGCTCATATTAAATCACATGGGTCCAGTCACGCCTTTTGCAGATTTAAAGCCTCACCGATACTTATCCTCTGCACCATCGGGAGGTAAGATGCTGCTGCACACTTTTCCACTAAGATTTCTGGCTATAACAGAATCTTTCAAAAAATGGAGCTACCTTAAGGTACACTGGTCTCCTTGGGAGGACTTTTTATCTTACAGGGCTGAAGTGGTTGGTGACATCAAGCTAGCTCCAGACCTCTTAGAAAAAGAGATAGGCCGACACGGCGATGACCACGACATCGGGCTCCACACCCGTGCCGGCGGACCAGGGCCATCAGCCCCAGGGGGATCTGCACACCCTCCTCACCTCCCTCCTTCCGCCATCCAGGCGCAACTTGCGACCCTCGCGCCCATCCAGGCGCAACTCGCGACACTCGCGCCCTTACAGGCGCAGGTGGCGACCCTTGCCGCCGGCATGCAACAACTCCAGGACGCTGCGTGTCCGTCATCTCCTGGCTCCCAGTCCGGGTCCCCCGTCCTCCGACAGGGTGGCCACGGCGGAGCTTCCTTCTCCGTTACCCCTGACCCGGCCATCTTGGTGACTGTCCACGCCCCTAGCACGACGGCCGCCACGAGTCAGGCCCCCCCTCAGTCTACGGGCGCACCCGCCCAGATCCCAGTCCCTACGGCCACGGTACAACAACCTGCTACCATGGTCTCAGCTTTTCCGGGTGCCCCGCTTCTCCCTCCCCTTCGCAAGACCGCAGCGCCACCTGGCTCTCCCCCCTCTAGGATGCCCCGCGCCGCTTGTGCGTCCACCCCCTCCACTCTTCCTCCTGCCACCCCTCGATCGACCTACGTTCGAGGTCTCGCGGACGAGATTGCCCAGCTCCGGGCGGACCTCGCCCTCTTACGCCTTCAGCCACCCCCACCCTCACAGGTGGCTGCGCCTTCGGGCGCACCCCCTACCTCCTCTACCCTTCCTCCCATGCAGGCTCGCTTTCCGCGCCTTGCAACCTACACAACTCCTTCCTACCTTTTTCCTACTCCCGCGGTTGCTGCGACCTCTTCTACCGCAGCACCCTCGCAGTTTGCCGCTGTCGCCACCGCCGCTCCCCCATGCGGCCCGGGCGCACAGTCAGCTGCGCCCCTTTCTCCAGGACCTGCGTCGACTTACTCAGCCGTGGCACAGGCCTCCGCTCCTCGATCCCCTCGCCGCCAAAACGGTGGCGCACCACTCATCCGCTTGTTGGACATTGCCTTGTATGACGGTACAGGCATACGCGTGTCTCGGTGGCTGCAGTCTGCCACCCGCACACTCCAGCTCATGGGCGCCACACCCGAGACGTGGGT